ACTGGTGGAGAAACTCCCACTCTGGCCCACATGTCAGGCATTAGGCCTCCGGGGGGTGGAGGTGGCATACCCCTCACCTTCCTTATTCTGATGTGTTTATGAATGCAGAGACATTATTTTCACAACCAGATGGACCAAAGCTATGACCCAGAGGAACCTGGGAGGCACCCTCTGAGTCAGGATTTGAAGGGTAGGCAGGAGTTTGTCTAAGGAGAAGGAAAGAGGGAAGGCAGCCAAGCCTGTGCGGAGACCTGGGAGATGGAGGTTGTTTTGGGGAGAGGGGGTTGATAGGGCCTCAGCTGGTGCCGAGGCTCAGCCCATCTTGATTCGGGTCCTCTGTCCCTTAGGCGAGTCGTTTCCAACTACAGAACCAAGCTGGCCCCACTCTCCTGTCCTTCCACCGAGAGCTGCTTTCTTCACCCAATCACTTTCTAAGTACACATCTGTGGTCACAGGGATGTTAGAGAACACTGGCTGTGGGCTGTGGGGCACCACAGACATGGTGTCTGCACTCCGAGAGGCAGAATGCAAGAGGGAGGTGGGGCCATGGGGACCAGGGACTTCCTCTCTGCAGCCTGTCGACTCAACTGGTCCAGACAAGCCACACTGAGCATCTGGGCATCCCTTGGTGGGACCTCCGAGCAAGGCAGGGTCACTATGCAGGGTCACTATGAGTCTGGGGTGCCATGCCCACCTTCCCATTTGACAGATGAAGAAGCCAAAGCCCAGAGAGCCAAGCCTCACCCAGAGCCTGGAGCTTTAGCTAAAACCCAGAAGTTCCAACTCTGGGTCTATCTATTCTAGGGGCTCAGACTGCCACTAGTCTGCAGAAAAAGACACCCACTCTGGCTGACCCACAGTCCCTGATCCATGTGGCCTCAGATCAGCAGCAGTTTTGACAGGACTTGAGGAATATCTGCTGGGATAGAGGCGGTGGTCACAGCATGGGCATTCACGCTGTATGGCACAGACACTGCCGCCCTGGTGACTGCTCAGATCATGGAGGTGCTTGTGGTGGGATCTTGGGCCAGTCTCTTCCCACTTGGGGCCAGTTTATGCACTGCTAATGTGGCTGCCCATAGTTTGCTCCTGACCCAAGGATATTATAGGAATCCAAATCTATCAGGAGATTGGAGTAGGCGGCAGAGGAGACCAGTGCAGCAACCAAGCCAGAGGCAGCCCTGGTCCATGGGAAGGAAGTGAGGATTTGAGGCACAGGGTCTGTGGGTTGGTGAGAGGGTGGAAGGACAAAGGAGGGGTGGAGGCCAGATCTAGAGACAGGAATACAGGAGACATAGCACATTTTTGGCTTACACATATTGCACCCCCAGAAGATGTGCAACAGGCCTTTGGGTATGAAGAGCAGGAAGAGATTGGATCTCATTGTCAATGTACCAAAGCATGGATGATATCGTTCACCAGCACTAAGTCCAGATTCTTGCCTACATCTTCCCAGCTCCTACTTGACCCTCCTCTGCCTTGCAGGCCCAGCTTCTGCCTTCTTCCCCATCTCATCAATGTAACATCAGCCCCCCATACTTCTGCTTTATGGGGCTAGGGACCAGGACCCTCCTGGTTTCTGTTGGTACATTTGAGGGGATCCTGGGCCCCCACAGTCTGCTTTCTCTATTGGAAAAGTCAGTGGGGACCCCTAAGCTCCATTCCTTGGGAGCTGGACTATGCCACCTAGGAGCTAGGGGCTGGGGACTGTCCATCCACTACTTGAGATACCCTGGGGCACAGAATCTCTGGGTTGTCTCATCCATAAACCTGCCCTGGGGCCACACCTTAGGGGCAATCAGGCAGTTGGTACAGTTACTCATGTGGACATGAGATGGGATGGCTTAGTCTTGTTTGATATGGCCTCCTGACCCAAAGTGGGCAGTAGAGGGCTCCAGAACCAGCCCCTCTCTTCCTCCAGCCCTGACTTCTGTAGGAATGTATGGGCATATGGACAGCTGAGCCCTCCTCTTGCAGTCCTGGACCTTGGAACCAATAGGCCTTAATGATGAGCCATGCCAACACCCACAGGTGGCAGATGGGAACAGGCCTGCGAAGAGCTGTCTGGCCCCAGCTGCCTTGGCTCCTGGATGGCTCCTGGACTGAGTCATCTATGCATCTGGCTGTGGGTCAGAGCCACCAACAGCTCTGCTGTGCAGGCAGGAGCTCTGGCTAGATGACTGGTACCAGCCAGACTACTGGGTCAAGAAGGATCCCTCCGTGCCTCAATGGCTCATGTGTGCAGTGGGAAGGACAAACGGTATAATGGCTGTCAGGTATGGCCTGTGGCATGAGGGCTGGGCTGTCTCGATTTGTCTTGAGCAGAAGGCCTTGTAGGGCTCCAGGTCTCTAGTTATGATCATTGATATTCTAAGCCCAACATCCCCATCTACAAAATAGCCTTAAGAGCCTCGGGAGACCTTGTGACTCTGATTGTGGACCAGGACACTGGGGGTACCTGCCCTGGAGCCTCAGCCCCCTCCACACAGCACAGATTCCTCCTACCACCACCTCCAGGCATCCAGCCCAGCACCTGGAGAGCCTCGGTCTGGCCTCAGACCCTGTAGGACTCGCTGCATGTCAGGTCTCAATGCTCTAACCCACAGCAGTGCCTGGGATTAGGACTCCCCACCTGCCAAAGGATGCCAAGGGGTGTGGCGCCAATGGCACAGTCCTGCTGAGGCACATTCCTCTAGCCTGAGCCCAGGGCAAGTCCCTATTTGCTATGGCCATCCCCTGACTCGTGGCAGGGACCTGGGAGGGACTGTGCCTCAGGAAGAAGTGTGCTGGCAGCCTCAGATGCAGCCCCTTTCTAAGACAGCATGGGAGGCGGTGTGCTTGCACAGTAGTAACTTGGCCAGGGGACCATGGAATGGTGAGATCCCAGGGGAAGAAGTCTTTGCCCCACCAGCTCAGGGTCTCATCACCCTGACGATCTGAGGCTATTGTGACCCACCCCCATACCCAATTCTGATATTGTGTGTGGAATTGTGGGTTCTGTTGGCCTCATCTCTCTTCTCCTCCACACCTATCCAAGCAGTCTCTGACCTTTGCCCTCTGCTCCTTCTCATGACCACTGCCTGATTTGGGCAGCCCTTTAGAGATGCAGACATCTAGTGCTTATAAGGACAAAAGAATAAGTGGCCCCAGCCAGTCGGTGGACCAGCATGCTTGATCCTGAGACACAAAATGCCAGTGCCCCTGGCTTGCTTTATAACTGCAGGCAAACCTTACAACCTTGCTGAGCCTCAACTTACCCAGCTTCAAATTGGGAGCCCAGCACCGCAGTGCCTCAGGAGACTGCTAGAGCACCCTGTGCATTGTCACTAAGTGCTGCTGCAATGGAGCTCAGCCCTTTCTGCCTCAGTGGGGTCTGGGTATGCCGATGCTACTGGGGGGAGTCATCCCCAATGCAACGCTGGGCCAATGGAAAGCCAGGTGTCCGACTCAGGGTCAACATTGAGTGAGGGTGAGGCAGGCAAGAGTCGAAGCTGTGGTGTGCCTTCAGGGTGGCCTGGTGAGCTTCCACGGGGTGTGCAAACATGTCTCCACTGCCTCCTTGACACCCCGTCTGTAGACTGTGGTGGGGGCCCCCACAGCCCAGGGCAGGTAGGTTCTAGTCCAGCCATGTGACCTATAGCACATCACTGGCCTCAGGTTCTCGGACTCTGGCCAAGTCCAGGGCAAGCATGGTGGGGCAACTCAGAAGTCAGCCAACATCCAGGGTTAGCAGCATGGGCAGCCGTGACCAGGCAAAGGCCCCAGACTGATACGCCCCGTCTGCTGCCAGTAGGGCAGGAAGGTGGTGGTTGTTGCTACTTATCATCATGTTGGTGCTGACTCATGACTACCTCACGTAAAGCAGAGGGAAGCGCTGCCCAGTCCCAAGTCATTTCAGCCAGACCTTCCAACTTAGAGGACTCATCTTCCATCATCACGTCAGACTGTGATCTGTTGTGATCCATAGGTTTTGCTTGGCTACTTTTCAAGTACAGATCACCAGAACTTTCTTCCTAGTCTGAAAACTCCTGAAACCTGTGCACCAGGGTAACTCTACTGGTATTTGAAATACCTGTGGCCTAGCCTCCAGTGTCACAGGGACATGCATGCCAGTCACTACAGTGTGACAGACAGGTGATGAGGGCAGGCAGCAGAGGGGAGGCTTGAGAGACAAGAGGCCTGGTGGGCACTCAGCCCCTCCTGGCCCCTTACAGACCTCCCCAATGGGCACAACGTTGTCCAGGCACCTCCTAACTCACAGCCCTCTCCTCTCCCTGTACCCTACCCCTGTACACTAGCTCCCTGCCCTCACCTCAGGCTGTGCTGACGCACCTTAACCTCTGGGCCCCATCTTGAGTCTGGACCAGGAGATAGAGCTCACTTGTGACAAGGTGACAAATATTATCAGATGACAGGAAGGACATGTACTCATTTGGGATCTGTCCAAACAGACAGGAGGGAGGCCAAAATCCATACTAGGGATGCAGGGGAGCTGCTTGCCTTTCTCAGGGAGTTGGCATCCCCGTTCCTCCTTCTTGTCATCTCAGTAACCCAGCATAGCCAGGAGCAGAGCAGTGATACGGCCTGCTTACACCTCTTGCTTCACCTTCAGAACCTGCCTGGGGGAACCTTAACAGCAATAGACTCAAGAACCATCTAGGTCAGGCTTCTCCTAGATCCAGACTCCCTCCCTACACTTTCTCACTCTTCCCTCTGTGTTCTCACCTCAGATTAGCTGAGCTTTGTTTTCTGTAGTTTTAGATTACAGAAACAACAGGTGCATTGAATATTTCTTCCCTTTGCCCTCTGCCACCCCCAGAGAGCCTCTGTCGATCCTCAGTGTGGACTCTAACCTTGAATGCCAGAGCCAAAGCAGGCCCCTGTTCTGAGCAGACAGCCTCCCTGCTGCTCCCTGTCCTGAGGCTGTCAGGAGCAGGCTGGGAGAGTGGTGAGGCCCACTGCCAGCCACCTAATAGACCCTGGCATCCTTCCTGCTCTAGGTCATCGCTGTGGTCATGGACATGTTCACCGATGTGGACATCTTTAAGGACCTACTGGACGCTGGCTTCAAGAGGAAGGTGGCCGTGTACATTATCGTGGATGAGAGCAGTGTCAAGTACTTTCTGCACATGTGTGAGCGAGCCTGCATGCACCTGGGGCACCTCAAGGTGAGTTGGGCCATTTGGCTAGTCAGCAAACACTCTGCATGGAGCCCTGTTCAATGATCCCAGCAGTCACAGCCCGCTCCAACAGTCAGAAGTGTGGGCAGTGCTGTCCAAGTGCCAGCCATGTGCTGTGTTGTATGTGATTCCACATTGGCTCTCTGGATTTGCTTGCACACCTCCTTTAGCAGTGTGCTCACCCATCTTCAGGCAGCTCTGACTTGGGTGAAGCTCAAAATGGTATTAGGATGTAGTTTAGAGGTTGTGCCCACAATGGGGTCAGAGAAGGCTTCCATGATGGTACCAAGTTGAAGTGGGTTCAAAGAATAAGAGCAGAGGAGAAGGGACCTCTGGGTGTCCAGTGGGAGCCAAAGCCAGGAGCGGGTGAGAGCAGGCTGATGCCTGTGGGGTAGGAATGAGCAGACTGGACCCCTATCACTGCCTGCCTTGGTAACTTTGAGCATCATTCTCTCTCCTCTCTGGGTTCCAGGAGATGTGTCTCCTCCCAGGCCAGACAAAGGCCAATGAATAGGTATTGCCACCTTCTTCCACTCAGATACCTTGACACTAATTGTCTTGGTTAGGGACAGGGCAGTCCTCCTCCAACCTGGCTACGGTTCGGCACCAACTATATGCAGAAGGTCTTCCTATAGAGTATACATCAGCATGCACAATGACAGTAAATCCTTTTGTACTGCTCTCATTTTCAGCAGTTTACACAGTGAACTTATCTAGTCCTTGAAACACCCACGGGGCTAGGGCAGCTGTTCGTCCTTGACAGGTGAAGCAGTGAAGATACTCCCAGAGAATCACTGAAGGAACCAGCAGGGCCTCTGGCTCAGCCCTGTGGTCTGAACATTGGAATTTCAAAGGGTTCAGGCCCAGGACCTAGGGGGAGGAACAATGCCAGGCTGGCTAATAAGGGGCCAGGCTCCCACAATTTTCTTTGGTTGGTATTTGCCAAGTTGCCCCCACCTGCACCCAGATGAGCCCTTTCATGTTGGGCCTGAACTCCCTGGGCAGGTCTGTGGCTGTCAGGATGCTTCATGTGGTCTCCTGGGTACGCTGACCCCAAGCCCCACACGCTGCCCTGCCCGTCTTCATTGTAATGAGCACCATGTGTGACGCTCCTGTGGCTGACAGCTCACTAGGGTGTCCAGCACACAGGACACATATTCTCAGACATGGCATTCAGGTCTCATCCTGTGGGAGAGTGCCAGAGACCTCCATCCACCCTGCACAGTCCTCCCCCAGGCTTCCTCACACTGTGCACAGCCTCAGGCCCACCCAGACACAGTTCACAAGCCCTAACACCGAGGTCCCAATTCTTGCCTTGGTGGGAGTGGCAGGAATCTGCAGGCCTTTAGCAGAACCGCCCTGGCTGCTCCTCTCCCTGTAATTGTCTAGGCACCCAGGAAATGGGAGGTGGGCTGGAAGTGAAGTGGACTGAGTTCTGCCCTGGCTACCTTCTGCTCTTGCCTGAAATGCCTCAGTCAGAAGGGACCTTGAGGCTGTCCCAGTGTGGTTCCTGCAAGGACAGATGAGGAAACTGAGGCCCCAGGGGCAAGAAGCTGACTAGCATGATGCCTTCAAGGGATGCTTGAAGACAAAATTAAAGGAGAGGATGGTTGTAAAACTTTCTGCGAGCTCAGTGGAGTTACACAGCTGCTGGCAAGACCAGTAAAATATAGACCTGGGCAGGGGAAAAGGGGCTTAGGTACAAGGTCTCCAGACCCTTCAGTTGGACACTAAGCTGCTGTCACCCTGGAGCCGGGGAGGGATACACACAGGGGGCCTGCCCACCAACCACCCACCTGCTCTCAGGATGATGACACAGTGACCAGGGAAGTAGCCAAGTGGGAAGGTTAGCCACCTTCATGGGAAAGTGTGGCCCCGGCTTCCTCATTCTCGCCTGTTAAGTCTGTTGCTCTGCAACTCTGGGTGGTGGCCAGTGGCTCCTGTGGGCCCAGCCCAGTCAGGTGTTGTCTTACCCTGGGCCTGCCTCTCTTCCCTCAGGCCAGCTGGGCCCAGGCCTGTCTCAGGAGCACTTCCTCATGGTAATCCCAAGGCTGCCCCTGCCCCTGCCCAGCTTTGTACCTACAAGTCCTGGCTCCTGTAGGCCCAGGTGCACAGCTACACAGGATGGGTGGGCCTCTTGAGGTCAGCCACCTGCCCCAGCCCAGACACCACGTGACCTCTCTGGGATATGGAAGAGGACAGTAAGCTGCTTTAGAGAGGAAAGAAGGCCATGTTTAATGGCCACTCAGGAATGGCTGCCCTGCCTGCCTTTCTCTGGCTAGGGGTCAAGGTCCGTCCCTGAGCTCCTAAGGGCGCACTGCACTCTAGCCAGGGACCACCCTTACCCCTGCCTCCAGGCAACCGCCAGTCTGCACCCCAGCCTCCTTCATCTCACCCCAGCACATTCTGAAAACCACTACCTATTGCCAGCACTGCTCTGGCTTCCTGGTATCCAAGTGAGATGGACCATGTGCACCAGCAGCCCGGCCTGGGGATGAAGCATGCACCTTCAGACAAGAGACACAGAAGTGCTTCCAGTCTACAAATAAGGGAGCAGGCTTTGAGAGCAATGTGCAGGGGGAGGACCCCGACTTCCCACCCACTCACTCGCTATATGTCAGTGGGTCAGGTCCACACTAGGGGTGACTCCAAGTTCTGAGGGCGCCACATAGTCCTTCAGGCTTGTAGCTCAGCATTGACTAGGAACTGTCAGAATCTTGGCTGGCCTGAAAAATGAGTCAACTTCGTGCAGCTAAACTGGAAAAACCAGAAACAGCCACTTGGTACAGGCCAGACTCACTTCTGATGAACAAGGCAGCCCCACTGGACAGTGAAGGAGGCTCCTAGGGAGGGTGCTTGGGTCCATACATCACGACTAGCTCAGCCCCTCCTGGTGCCCAGGGTACCCTGCCTTCTCTGGTCCTTTCCTATGTCTGCTTTCGACTCTGGTCAGGCAGTGGTTGGCCAGCCAGGGCTATCTGCTGCCCCTTAGGAACATGTGGCTATGTCGAGAGACAGTTTGTGGTATCCCAGCTAGGGAGGTGCTGTTGGCATCTACTGGCCAGAGACCAGAGTGCTGCTTACCATCTGACAGTACACAGGACAGCCCCCACCAGCAAAAAAAAACAAAACCAACACAAATGCCAGTTCTGCCTGGCGTGAACAGCCCTGGAGTAGGATAGAGTCTGTCAAGGTCCATCCTAAAGCAGCCACATGTCCCCATAACAGCAAAGGGCCTCACAACAGCCCGGGGAGGTGGGCACTGCCCCCCACCCCCTCCACTTTTCCCAAGGAATCAAAGACGGACAGGGCTCAGAGCATCAGGGGTTCACCTCCCAGATCAGGACTCCATCCCCTGCTTACCCCTCACCTGGCCTGACCTCAAGACAGAGGGAAAGGGGCCCTGAGAGCTGACCTCAGCCTCCTTGGTGGGCCCATGCCATCCTCACTGTGGCTGCCTCCTGTGCCAGCCTTCATCTGTGCAGTCATAACCTAGCATCTGTGCTGCCTGTGTTGAGCCCTGGCAACTTCCTAGCCCCCTTCTGTAGTCTTCACTCTGTCCCTAGGTGCTTTTTGCAGACAAAAACAAGTGATCACCCCATTTAATCCTGAGCACAAAAGTGTCCTCTAGCCAAGCCCTGCCTCTCCTGCAGGGTTCTGGGCTTCAAGCCTGAGTGCTGGTGGGCTTGGCCTAGGGTTGAATCTGGCTCACATCACTGGTGTAAGCACAGGGGTCTGGAGGCCTGCCGTGGGCAAAGGAGGCAGGGAACTGGGGTCTCTGCCTGCAGCCATTTCCTGTCCCCCTACCAACTTGCCTCTAGTGTCTCCCAGGGACACCTGCCACCTCTTTTCACAGAAAAGAAAACAGGCCCCGAGGGTCTAAGGACATGCCCTGGATCCCCTCATGTGCCATTGTAATGTCCCACCACTGCCTTCTTCACATCTTGCCAGGTACCCTGGGAGCTCCATGTCCACTCACCAAGCCCAGGCTCAGGGAACAGTACTTTATGTGAGTCAGGCCTCACCCAGGAACAAGCAGGAGCCAGGTATTGTCCCACCACAAGTTCTACCCCCAGGGTCAGATGGGCCTTGGAGTTCAAGGCCAGCTCCCCAGTGTGCAGAGGGAGAAACCCAGGCCCAGAGAGGACCTTGCTGAGAGTCACATGAAAGTTCAGGCCCAAGCTAGGGGCTTGGGGGCCCATACCCTCAGGGAGGCTGAGTCTTCAAGGTGTGAGTTCCAAGCCTTTCCTTGGAACAAGGTTTAGGGTCATGGGGCAGGCACAGGTGACAGCAGCAGAGCTTCATGCCACCTTCTTGTCCCCGAGAATGCTCTATGTTCGGTGCAAAGTCACAAGCACTAATTGTCCTGGGCCCTGGCCAGCTTCCTGCTGAGCTGGCCCTGTGCAGACAAGCCGTCTGCCCGTCCACAGGGGAGAACCACCCGCCTGCCCAGGAGCTGAGGCATATCTCACTCCTGGGCTGGGCCAACAACAGGTTCATTATGTCTGCTCTCTCAGCGAGGTCCTAGCATGGCAGCTAGTGCATGTCACTGGGGGCCTCAGTTACTGCCACCCCACACACAAGCAAAAACATAGAGCCACCAGGGGCATCAGGCTGGAAGTGGTTCTTCCAGCCCACCACTTAGCCTCATTCCCATACAGGGCTTTCTGTGGATCCTGGGGGCCCAACGTAGTTGGTGAGGGGCAGTAACAGCCTGTCCAAATGCCCCTATGAGACAGTGAGGGTCTCATCATGATGGCGTGTATAAGGCCTGACAGGATCTATAAAGGCATTCCTGCCCCGTGGGGTCCACAGGGCAGAGTCACTTGTGTGAAAAATGGAAATTCCAGAGGATATGGGGAATCATTTCTGTTGAGGGTGACGTTGAACATCTGGAAACAATCAGTAGTGATAGTTGCGTAAAATAAAGCCCAAGCAAATCCACTGCTGTCCAGTCAATTCCAACTCCCAGCGACACTAGAGGGAATAGTAGAACTGCCCCCATAGGGTTTCGTTACAGAAGCAGACTGCCACATCTTCTCCCACAGAGTGGCCGCTGGGTTTGGACTGCTGACCTTTTGGTTAGCAGTTGGCATTTTGACAACTGTGCCACCAGGGCTCTCTCTCTTTGGTTACACCTCACTTAGTCATAATTACAGGCTGGCTTTGCGGGAAAATGGGGGTTTTTCCAGGAACCCTGCCTCAGTGAGCAGAACTCAGCAAGAAGGGTTAGACGGGATGCCAGAAAGAACAGGGGACACCTGGGCAGCTAGGAAGCCTGCCTCTCCCCCTTGCGCCACCCCTACACCACTGTCAGCATGAGCCTTCTAGAATGTGCCCATTGCTCTCCTGCTTAAGATGCCAAGGTAGCCCCCATCTGCCCTCACCCAGCACCATTTCTCAAACTGACCTGAACTCAGGACACTTGCTTGTGTGTGTGCTTTGGGCGCCATTCTGAGGAAAACACCTCAGGACAAAACCTCACCAGCACCATTCCTAGCTGGCCTCCTCTCCAGCCTCAGGGCCCACTATCTCCTGCCTGGTCCAGGGTCCCCAGATGCCCAGACCCTCCTGTGGAAACACTCTGTGCTCTGGGCAGGGCTTTGAAGCCACAATGGTGCAGTTCTGTGTCCATGTCTCTTCTTCTCCCCACGCAGAACCTCAGAGTCCGGAGCAGTGGGGGAACAGAGTTCTTCACCCGGTCAGCAACGAAGTTCAAAGGAGCACTAGCCCAGAAGTTCATGTTTGTGGATGGAGACCGTGCTGTGTGTGGCTCTTACAGGTGACTTCCAGCTCTGAGACTTAGGCAGAACTTCCGCATGCACCTTAGGTCCCTAGCTGATTTCTGTCCTACTCCTGACTATTATACCAAACTGCTAAGATGTGAGCAAGACTGCCCAGGAGGAGGAAGATTCTGTCTATGCCAGACGTGTCACCCAGAGGTGGAGTGGGCCAGGGCAGGCAGCCTCCTCCTGTCCTTGGGAAGTAGAGTCAGAGCAATGAAGTCACATACAGCATCAGACTGTCCTGAAAAGCTGCCTTGGGCCAGTGGGGTGGGAACCTTGTGTTGTAGAGGAGATTCAGGGACTGGGTGGTGTGACACCAGGTGTTGAACCATGCCAGGTGTTGATGCTACCCAGGGTCCCTCCACACTGCCAAGGAGGAGGTAGAAGCTGGGCCCAGACAGTCACAGAGATGACAGTGAGTAATGAAATGGGCCCCCTGTTCCTTCTCACTTCCCTTAAATGAGCCCGGTACCCCATAGGCATAGTGTGTAAGACAGGTAACGGAACGGGTCCAGCACAGTGGGCATGGAGCTCTGGGAGGAGGCCAACTTGGTGTGCTGACCTGCACTGCGCTCTGTGTTGTAGCTTCACATGGTCAGCTGCCCGGACAGACCGGAACGTGATCTCAGTGCTATCTGGCCAGGTGGTAGAGATGTTCGACCGACAGTTCCAGGAGTTGTACCTCACATCACACAGTGTCAGCCTCAAGAGTGTTCCCATGGAAAAGGAGCCCGAGCCCGAGCCCATCATGCTGCCCTCCGTGGTCCCCCTGGTGCCTGCAGGCACTGTGGCCAAGAAACTTGTCAATCCCAAGTATGCACTAGTCAAGGCCAAGAGTGCCGATGAGCTCGCCAAGACCTGCACCGAGAAACCAGAGAACAAGAGGCCCCCAGGACTGCGGGGCCCAGCACTGGTGGAGCGGTCCAGTGACTTCCCGGAGCCTCCCCTGCCCATACACCCAGGGCTACTGAACCTGGAGCGTGCCAACATGTTTGAGTACCTGCCAACATGGGTGGAACCAGACCCCGAGCCAGGCAGTGACATTCTGGGCTACATCAACATCATTGACCCCAATATCTGGAACCCACAGCCCAGTCAGATGAACCGCATCAAGATCCGTGACACATCCCAAGCCAGTGCCCAACATCAGCTATGGAAGCAAAGCCAGGGCTGCAGCCCCACCCCAGTGCCTGGCCTGGACCTCCCAGATGGGCCCCCTGCCACCAATGGCCTCCCCCAAGGGGACTCTGAACCAAGGCCCCCTGTGCCCAAGCCTCGGACAGTCCCTGTGGCAGACCTACTTGCCCAGGATGGTGGTGGTATTGATTGGGCACTAGAGACCCCAGACAAGGAGACCCCCCAGAATGGAACCGACAGTGGGCTGCCCCAGGCAATGGGCCTGGGCCATACCCCACTTCAGCGTCAACTGTCCATGGCCCAGAATGACTCCAACAGCCTGAGGGCAGGGGTTCCCAATGGGCTGGATGGCGAAGAGGAGGAAGATGATGATGACTACGTGACCCTTAGTGACCAAGACAGCCTCTCGGGAAGCTCCAGCCATGGCCCTGGCCCTCGGAGACCCTCAGTGGCTTCATCTAGGTCAGATGAGTATTTTGAAGTTAGGGAGCGATTGACCCCTCTCCGGAGGCGCCACTCAGAGCAGGTGGCCAATGGGGCAGCCCCACCCCCCCGTCGACAGCTGAGTACCCCCCATGTGAGCCGAGGGACCTTAGGTGGGCCCGTGGGGAGATCTGCATGGGCCCGGAGTCGAGCAAGAGAAGAGACCGATGCCTCGAGGAGAATGCAAACCCAGGCAGCCCCAAACAAGGAGACCCAGGTAGGTTGGAGTCCCTGTACACAGGTGGCATCACAGGCCCCCTTAAGCAATGCAGTCCTCAAATACAGGAGGGATCATGGCTCTCCTTGATTGGCTATCCTCTAGGCATAGGGTCTCCACCTCAAACCCCTGTCCTGTGACAGATGGGGACTGATGGACAGAGCCACATACAGGGAATGCTCAGCACCAAATTTCCAAGGCCTCCTGAGCTGGTACCACGAACCAGAAGGAAATCTATCTTTAACCTAAGGTTTCAGATACCTGGCGTCTCAGGGTCTTAACACAGCCCTGCAGGCAGGTGTAGGGCCCCAAGTTTGCATACAAGGCAGTGGTGGCGGTGGCGGCACAGAATCACTAGTTTTCACCTTTGAGGTCACACAGCAGTATGTGGTCAAACAGGACCCCGCCCAGTGTGTCTGCATTGCACACCACATTGTCTCCTTGTCAACCCCTTTGATTGTAGCTCCGGAGAATTACTCTCCTCTCTGCTGCCCCTCAGCTAGGAAATGGCTCGTATCTAGCATTTACCTCCTCTCCTGATGATTCTGCCCAATAAGGACACAGATCCCAGCACTCTAGCACTCTCCAAGCAGCCTGAGCAGCCACTAGGTGCTGTCCTACCTGGGTAGAGTGCACGGCTGATCATACCAGGCATGATCATCAGGCCCATGGGAAGCATCTTCAGGTAGCTTGCAAGGATGGAGCCAGCCTTTGCATGATTCAGATCCCGGGCAGACAGTGACCGTTGCACAATGACCTGGAAGGTCCGACACCAGAAGGGATGCCGGTGTCAGGACTTCATCCCAGAAGACTTCAGGGAATGGTGTGGGACACAAGACTCCCATTCTGTCTTGGCCCCAAACCTGTCCAAGACAGCCGATGGAATCCTTCCCTCCTCACCCATTAGCTGAGCGTCATTGATCTGTCCAATGTGGGCAGGATGGTATCCCCTGGGCCCTTATGAGAGTGGCTAGCTTTTCATATACATGCCAGGAATAAACCTTGGCATCTGTGGTTTTGGAGAGTTTATACATCAGTTATTGTTGTTAAGTGTAGTCATGTTGGTTCAACTCATAGCAACCCTGTATAGAGTTTCTGAGGAGCAGCTGCTGGATTTGAACTGCAGACCTCATGCTCAGAGTCCAATGCTCATCCTACAGCACCACACCAGGATTCTACACATCAGTGGTGGTGTTGGTGGTTGTATGCTGTCAAGTCAGTTCCAACTCATAGCAACCCCTTGTAGGGTTTCCAAGGGTGTAAACTTTTATAGGAGCAGAAAGCCTCATCTTTCTCCCACAGAATGGCTGGTGGATTGAAACTACTGACAGTGCAGTTTGCAGTACAACATGTAATCCAGTAGCCACTGTAGTATAAGAATAATACATGCTGGCTGAGGGGACCAGCTCCCTGTGAACCCTGGGAAACTCCTAAGTAGACCTCAGTTTCCAGATCTGCAAAATGGGAGGGGTGTGGTTTGGACTGATGACATCTAAATCCTCCCAACTCTGATATGATTCTGCTTTTTAAAAGGTGTTTCTGGGTAGTGCAAACAGCTAATGTTCTTCACTGCTATCTGAAAGGTTGGAAATTCAAGTCCACCCAAAGGCACCTCAGAAGAAAGGCCTGGCAACCTTAAAAAAATCAGCCTACATGCTGGGGGCTTCTGGATCAGGATCCACCCATCCTATAGGCAGAGAAGGGGCTGCCAGTCCAAATGTGTGCAGAGAAGGGACCAGGCTGTATGCAGTAAGAGGCAAGGAGGCCCTGGCTCAAAGTTCCCCTTGCCTCTTCTGGCTGTGTGACCTGAGCAAGCCCTTCCCCAGCCTGGCCTTCCTTCCTGATACAGTGTGTAGATAGATGGGCCAACAGACAGTCGCCCCACTGGATGATACATGGCAGGGCCAGGGAACCGGCCCTGAAAAATGGGTGTGATTTTAGTAGACAGAGGCAGTAGAGGGCAAGGAGTGTGTGAGGTATTGGGAGCAGTGGGCACCTCTGGGCCAGGGTAGGAGCCTCAGGTGGGGAGTGGCCAAGCAAGGGCCCTATGCCTGTCAAGGAGTCCTGCCCTGCTGGGTTCACGTCTGCCACCCTGAGTCCTCAGGGAGCCTGACCCTCTAGCCCTTAGGCTGGGATTTGTGCTGATTCATTCAAGCTTCATGGGAAAATCACTGGAATGATGTTACACCCACAGACGCCTGTGCCCTGTCAGGCCCTTGCTGAGTGGGGAAGAAGTGAGAGGTGAAGGGCACAAGGTCTAGCTTGGGCACCCCAGATGCCCTTCTAGGTGGTGCTTGGCCCACTCAGGGAGGTAGTTGGACATCCTCAATAGGTCCCACATTCCCTGGGACCCCATTCATGAGACACAGCCATTGTGGGATCCAGAGTAGGACTCTTTGAGGGGAAGCCAAGGCCCAATCTCTCAGAGTTTCTGAAGTCTCTCGACTATGGTCATATCCCACAGTCCGGATGCAGAGACGGTCCCAGGAAACATAACTGAGCACCTGCTGCTTGGGAGGGGGAAAGTTGTGGGGGCCTTGGGAAACCTTCTACGCTGGCCAGGTGCTGTGCCTTGCGCTAGGCTGACCCCCAGCTCTCCCTCTCTGGGCTTCAGAGCCCAGCTTTCTTTGCCGCTGGTGAGGCCTTCTGAGAAGCCTCACATGAGCAACCATTACTGACCCCTTTTGGCCTGGCTGCCTCATACTCTGAGACCCCACTGTGGAAGCAGGGGCCCTATTGTCTGCTTGACACCCACAGGGAGTAGGGGTGGTCTCAGCAAGCCTGCCTGTTCCCCAGCAGAAGGGGAAACAGAAACAGAGGCCCCTTCCTATAGGCCTGCTAGTCTGCTGCCTGGCAAGGCCTCCTATCTGAGTGTCCCTGGAGCTGCAGCCTCCAGAGATGGGTGGGTAAATGGACTAGCTTTTGTCTGCGCTACTTAGCCTAAATTTTCCTGCCTCCAGCTTTCACTTTTCTCTCTCTCCCCACTCTCTCCCAGGGCCAGCAGTTCCACCGTTATGGGGTACCTGCCTCCAGGACCAGGCATAAGGATGGCTTCCTACAGCCACTGAGAACCCCAAGGTCCCAGCAATACCATCCTGCAGCTGACAATGCCCAGAGCTCCCCCAGAAAGGCAGGCCCCCACCAATGGCAAGCCAAGGGAGATGCAATACCCCTTACCCTGCCAGATGCTGGGAGCCCAACCCTGGCCAATAGCAGGGCCACCGAGGAGCATCCAAGTCCTTTTGGAATCCCATACTCCAAATTGTCCCAGTCTAAGCATCTCAAGGCCAGGACAGGCGGTGGCCAGTGGGCCTCATCTGACTCCAAACGGAGGACCCAGGCCCACAGAGACCACACGGACCCCTAGCTGCCTCCCCCAGCCAGACCCATGCCTCCCACAGCCTTGTTCTCTGCTTGGACTTGGGGTGACAGAGTGTTTGTAGAGCCGTGCCACATTGATGACTACAGGGGCTTGTGAATGGTCACAAGGACCCAGCTGCAAGTGTGGGTGGTTGACATGGACACTTGCCTGGTCAGTGCACCAGTACCAGGTGGCCAGGATGGTTAGACCGAAAGTCATCCCGGTCCACGGGAGGTCTGCAGTGTAGGGGTCTCTGAACATGTGCATGGCATCTTTGCGCGGCAGGTGGCAGGTCGTGTTGATGATGGTCTTGGCTGGGATGGCCCGGGCATAGGCTGCTTCCAGCTGGTCATAACCACCAATCTGGCTGAAAGCTAGAAAGGTCAGATGGGAGAAGAAACACCATGGTGGCTTTAGTCCCATGGGTTCCCACTGCCTTCATCTCCTGTAACTCCCTGATGCAGCAAACTTGAATTTTTCCCTCTTCTCCCCCTTCCCCAGTTGAATTTTAATGACTATTTTATTGTATTTAAATAATACTATTAAATGAGCATTTTGCACATGGGCATCTCAGAGGCCCTGGCTGTCCCTCAGCCTCAGGGTAAGGGGCTCTGCCAGGTCTTGGACTATCAATTCAAGGAAGCAAAAGTACCTTTTTTTTTTTTGACATTTGAGGACCTTTTTAGAGAATCTCAAATGTTAAAATCCTGACTCCAGGGGCTTCTGAAGAAGTTGAGGGTATCTGGTGACTACGTGGTCTCAACCCCTGATGACACAGAAAAGGACAATGGAGGTCACAGAGGGGCAGTGGCTTCCCTGAAGACAGAACCTGGTGCCCCCTGGAGTCTACGTGGGACCAGGGTCAGTGTTCAGACCAAGGGTCCATGGGAAGCCAAGAGCACACCTGCAGGTCAGGATGAAAGCTCGTCTGTGCATAGGCACAGATGCTCTGCAGGGTCAGAAATGGCTCAACTTCAAAGGCCTCCAGTCACCCTCTGTGCAGTCACTGTTCTCACCCCTGGTGACAGGGAGCTCACTTCCTCTTGTGGCAGCTCACGAACTTTATTCTCTTACCTGACTAGTATCACACTCTACACTCCCCTGCCTTTGTCTAGTGGGAGGTAGCATGGTTTCTTGGGACTTTGGACACAATTTTTAAACAGTTGGTGGAGACAACAAAGCAATTTTGTGAGCTCCTCATTGTATGTTTCCACGTCTGCCCTGGGCCCCACCTAACTGGTAAGCCCTGAGCCTAGAGCAGGCCTGGCTAGCCCTGTATTCCTGAGTCAGCTTGGATCTGCATCCAAGAGTTGGTGACAGAAAAGTAGTTGAGTCACCAGGGCAGGAGGAATGTCAGCAGCCTCTACCTCCAAGGGGACAAATCCCGTCCTTCCAAAAGCAGTGGAGTGCCCCAAGTGCCTCTGGCTCAGTGACCTGACTCCTTAACCCAGGATGAGCTCTGACCTTAGGTCCCATAGTGTAGGCCCTGCAGGGTATTGACCCACGCTCCTCACCTTTGACAGTAAGGATGACAGCCCCTATCACCATGATGAAGGTCTGCAGGGCATCTGTGTAGATCACGGCAGCCAGACCTCCTGCCAAGGAAAATGGCAGTGCTCCGCAGGCATGTCCCTGCAGCAACCCCGACTCACCCTTGTGTCTATTCTAAGTAGCTGTTCCCTGGCTGCACTGGTGCCTCTCATACCTGCGATGGTGTACAGAGCCGTGATGAGCAGCATGAGGGTGGTGGACAGGTAGAAGTTCCAACCCAGGCAGATGTGAACAAAGAGTGCTCCAGCATACAGATCAATCTGGGGAAGCAAACAAGCCCTTTGCAGGGTTTGGGTCTGCTGTGGGCCCGGCCGACTTGGCTGCTTTGCCACATGGGACTTCAGCATATCCAGGATGTGGTCGGGAGATTCCACCACCTGCCCACCTCACAGGGCTGTTGTGAGGGTCAGAGGAGATGCTGGCAGAACACCTGTGCTGTGTTCCAATGAACAGACATCACTGTTACTAATAAAGTTTAGAGTGGTCCCTATCCATCAGGGCACAGTGTGTGATTGGACCTGGTGCGATGAGGAGGCCAGGAGGGCTTCCTGGGTGGAGGCTGGGGAGAACTCTGGAAATAGTTCTGCTACCTCCAGAGAAATGGAGAGTGGAAATGTGGTCTTCTGAGTGCATCTGGAACACAAGTTAGGGGAGGTTCTGAGTCCCGTGTCTTAAACTTCATGTAGCCATGCCAAGAACAGGATAGGACACAGTCCTGAACATCTTAGGACCAACTCAACCTAGAGGCAGGCATAGTAGCCCTGGATGAGCCCACCTCAGCACTGGAATGGGCCTCCCAACCCACAATCGGGTCCCAGATAGGGACCAGGGTGGGCCCAGGGCCAATCCATCCCACAATAATTGGGGAAGGGGCTCCACCCTACCCCACCCTACCCCACCCAACCTAGATTTCCAAACCTGCCCTTCTTACTTGGCTCAGTGGAGGGGAAATAACTGGAAATACAGCCTCTGGGGCCAGGAGGTTCCTGGGAAGGTTGTATGTGTATGTGTGTACTATGGTGGGTAAGCTGAGCTCACTGTTGCAAGCCCATACAAGGCCAGCCTCCCCCGGGCCTGGCACAATGGAGCAAATCAGCCCTGGGAGCCTTGACTCCCGGGGCCCCCCAAAGGCCAGGACCTGTAAGGAACCCCACAGCCATATTCCCTATACTGACCTCAAGGCCCTACTTCATCAGCACTTTGAGAGGGAAAAAAAAGACAATTTGGACATGTTGGCAAGGTGCTTTCAGAAGGACACTGGGGTTCTCCACTTTGGCAATGTGAGTGTGGGCAAGACCGTGGGGGAGCATGGGGGTCTGAATGGAATATCAGAGGCTTTGAACATACAGAGCAGGAAAGACTTCTAGTCTCTGCTCATCCCTGAAGTCTAGCCAGCCCACCTCACTGCTCCGCTAGCTCCTCCACCTCTCAGGGACACGTCACCAGCTCTTCTTTCCAGGGCAGTTGGCGCCCAAGAATGACCAGGAGTTTGCCAGGCAGCTAAGCTACAGGAGCAAAACTTCTGACTTCCCTGTAGAGCCCCTACACAGAGTCCACTATGTTTCTGGCTACCACTGAGGACACTTGTAGTTAAGTGCTGTCAGTAGGTAATGACGCATATTGCCCCTGTATAGTGTTTCTGAGGAGCGGTTGGTGAATTTGAACCACGAACCTTGCGGTTCAAACCCCCCTTGTGGTCCAGAGCAATGTCCTACAGCATCACACCAGGACTCCACTGAGGACACTAGCAGTATTGAATCTCGCCACATATCCCAAGGAAGTCCCCAAAAGAGGAAATGAAAATATCACCTCATTCAAACTGACCCTTCCTACAGTCCAGGCAGGGTGCCTGGTAGAAGCTAAGAGTTCCTTGTCTGCCTGTGTCCCTCATCTGCCTTTGGTAAGGTCACTTGGCCTCTCTGAGCCTCAGTGGCCCTTCTCTGAAAAATGGGGGAAATGATATGGAGAGAACACCCTGGGCAAGGCTGCTCAGACCTGTGGTTCTCCCTGCTACCTCTCCAGAACATCACAGGCAGGAACACAGAGACCTAGCTCCCTCTTCCTGCAACTGGGAGGCCAAAGCCAAGAAAGGCCAAGGAATTTGCTCAAGGTGGTAACACCTTGGGTTCAAAGTCAATAGGAAAATAGGACACCTCAAAAGAAGGTCAAAAGTCAATAGAACTTCTCAAAGAAGGTCCAGCCTCAAGTGCACAAAGCAAGTCAAAGCTGCAGTTGGAATCTCAGCACATTGCCTCCTCAGCTCAGAAACTGCAAAACACTGAGGATGCAGAAATGCCCAGAGTCTGACCTCCAAAATTACTTAACACCAACAGTCCCTGCTTCCACCCTTTCCTTCCCCACTGCAGGCCTGCCTGCTTCCACCTCCTCGCCTGTGTCCAGGCCAAGCTTCCACCAGATGGTCTCTCCAACTGCTCACCCAGGTGGCCTGCTGCCTCCTGTTCAGCCATCCAGGTGTGTGCACTGCTGTTGCAGCACTTTACCCACAGTCTTCCGTCTTCCAGCCTCCTGTGGGATTAGTGACTCCCCCACTCCCCCGCAGGACCCTGGATGCCCCACTTCCCACCCTAACCTAGGTTGATTACTGTCCCACATGAGCGCCATGGCTCCTGCTTTTATCAGTGACCAAAGATCAACCTCCATGCTCGCATGTCAGTGGACTCCTCTCCAATGCTCATCCACCTCCAAGCCCCTGGCCTGGGCCTCTCCCTGGTCCTCCTCCAAATGGCTCCTTCAGGACAATACCAAATGCTTCTCTGAGTTTCTGCTATGCCGGGAGTAAATCCCAACCCCCACCCCCACCCCCATCCCAGCCCTGCTCTCCTCCAGCTCCTCCAGCATCCCTGGGTCCTAGACTCGCTCATCTCTGTCCTGTCTCAGGGCCTGCATGAACTCCCCCTCTGCCAGGGATGCTGCACTCTTTTGACTTCAACATCACCCCCTTCCCAGATCTCTCTCTAACCTACTTCTGTTGAGCTCCTCAAACTCACAACAACTCCATATATGTCAGAGTAGAACTGCTCCGGAGGGCTTCCAATGGCTGATCTTTGGGAAGTAGCTCATTAAAGCACCTCTGTGTGGACTCGAACCTCCAACTTTTCTGTTAGACTGTTTGTACCTCCCAGGGACTCTTCTCTCTCTAAAGTGTGTGAAAGCTCCTCTGGTTCTCTTGATTCTCTCTTCCAGCACCTTAATTGCTTTTAAAATAATACTCCTGGTGTGGTGCTGTAAGAGAAGTACTAAACTGCTAACCACAAAGTTGGTGGTTCAAACCCATAAGCCACTCCTCAGAAACTCTGTACAGGGTTGCTAAGAGTCGGAACTGACTCAACGACACTTAAAAACGACAGTAATAACTGTTTATAATGGCTTCACTTGTTGATGTATCCTGCGTATCTGGAAGATAAGCCCCTGAAGGCAAGGGTGCCCTATGCCTATATGGTAGCTGGTTGACAGTAGGCACTCAGTGAGTAAGCAAACTTACAAATGTTAGGGGTCAGCACACTAGAGCCTGCAGATGAAGCCCATCATGCTCATTCATGTTATATGTGGCTACTTTTGTACCAGTGACAGAGTAGTTGCCACAGAAATACAGAGTTGAAAATGTTTGCTAACAAATATTAACAGAAAAAGTTCACTGATGTCTGACCTACGTCATCTTGTTCATCCCAGTAGGTAGTCACTCATGTATTCACTCATTTTACTTGCTAATTCTCGTCTGTGCCTACTATGTGCAAGGCATACAGTAGCACATGGGACACATTGGTGAACAAAGGAAAATAGGGGAAGGGGCTGAGTGGACTGCCTGTGTGCTGGACTTATGATGACCATGTGAAGTAGAGGGTTAGCAGGTGATGAGAAACAGTGGACAGGATGGGTGGATGGTCCCTGGGCTGAACAACGACAACCATGTGAGCTAGAAGGAGAGCAGGTGACAGGAGACAGACAGTGGACAGATGGGTGGACAATGCCTGTGCTGGTTGGTGACAGCCATGTGAACCAGAGGGAGAGCAGGAGACAGACGTGGACATCTGAGTGGACAGTCCCTGTGCAGGTTGTTGACAACCATGTGAACTAGAAGAGAGCAAGTGACAGGAGACAATGGGTGGGGTACATGGACGGTCCCTGTGCTGGAAGCTGATGAGGACGTAACTAGAGGGACAGCTGGTGAATGAGCTGAGTGCACTGGGCCAGAGGAGATTTCGTTGAGGAGGAGACAGTTGAAGGATCCAGATGTGGTAAGGGTGTGAGGCACGTGGATACCTAGGCACAGGCACAGTAGGTGCAAAGTCCTGTGGTGAATCACAGATTGTGTACCCCTGATACTGCAAGGAAGTCAGTATGTCTAGAGCAATAATATGTGCAAGAGAGAGTAGGTCAGTGTGTGCACACGGTGTAGGGCTTAGAGATTACAGCGAGCAGAGAAGGGGCTCCATCAAAGTTTCCCTATTTCCAGAGGTTAGACAACGGGTCAAGGAGCTGAGCACATGATGGTTCAAGTGGGCTGAGCTCTGGGATATGGGTCCAGATAGGCTAGAGAGAGATGCAGACCTGGGGCTCAGCCCAGTGAGGTCAGGGCCTCTAGGGCCAGTGGATGCATGTACTTCAAACAACTTCACCCAAAGTCATCAGCGAGGATGGCTGGTCCCTCCCAACCAAGCCCAGCAATTTGCATTCCTTGCACTTCTCCATCCACTTCATGCCAGTAGCCTTCAGCATTCTGAAGCCCCAGTCTTGACTTCAATGGGCTGCTTCCCATTTTATAGCTGGACAGATTGAGTAATCATCACAAAGCTGACTGCTGATGAGAGTGGAGTTTGAAATTCAGCTTTGTGAGTTTGATGCAGTGCAGTTAGGGCTCTCGGACCTCTAGCATGGCGGAGTGAAGAACACTGTCCAGAGGGTGTTCTTGTTCAGCTACAGGTGAGGATGTGGAGGGTAAGGGGACTTTCCCTGGCCTAAGGTCACAGGGAGAATCATGCAGACTTCACAGAACCCAGGCTTCCTGCATCCAAGCCAGTGCCAAGTTGGCTTTTCCCAGGTTGAACCAAATGAGCCAAGGGCCACCCTACCAGTGAAGCAGCTCTCCCACCACTCAGAAACACCCCTTCACTAATGAAACCAGGATGGGACACCAAAGCCTTCTGGAGATAGATAGGCCAACAAGAATAGAGGGGGCAGTCACTGGGAGGCTTTGGACAAGACACTTCCTCTCCCCGGCCTCCGTTTCCCTATCTGTAAAATCAAGGTCTTGGAAGAGACAAACCCTAAGCTCCTCCTAACTCTGGCATTCTCATTTATTTCTGCTCTTAATATTCTTGTAGGATGAGGTCTAGACTCCCAAGGGAAAGCAGCCTGGAGGAGCACTCACTAGAAATCATCTTAAGAGACAGAGTCAACCAGCCTAGAGGAGGAGACGGTGAAAGGCAGGAGAGTCCACTGGTGCCACACAGCTCTCAGCGGCCCCTGGTGAGCACTTGTGCTCCACTCAATGCCACCCCAGAAACCCCAGGGCTGGCCACCTCTCCCTGAAGAGAACCCTTCCCACTACTCCTGAATCTAGAACTGGGGGGACAGCCAGGGTTATGAGGACTGCATTTTGGGCCACAGACCCACTACCCAGCCTGTAATGTTGCTAGGTCTGCTTTTCAGGGTCCCTGACCATTGTTACAGACTTGTTGGGTAGTCTTGGGCATGACATGGTACCTTCTTGGACCTCAGTTTCTCCAGTTGTTAAACAGACCAGGGATGGCTGAGGCGAGATCAGACACATCTTCAGGGCTCCAGATAAAGGACATTTCCAAACTGCTCTGACTGAGGCTAGGGGTGTGGGGCAGCTCACCGATATCTTGGTGAAGACAGACAGCAGCAGGGACAGGACAGACAGGTACATGCGTATCCGCTGGCCTCCATAGCGCTTCTGAATATACTCAGGCATGGTGACAATCTAGAGGGAGACAGAAAGGGGCTGAGTGCCCCATCCCTCCGCCCCCAAGACCACACCCATGCCCAACTGCTCAGCTCTGGCCTTGAATCCCATGCTAAGTTCTAACCAAATCCCAAAGGCAAAGAACAGGGCCACTGATAGGGCTTTGGCTAGGCACAAAGAGACAGATCTGGTGACTCCAGATGAGATATAAAGCCCAAGAAGATGGTTGTAAGGTACAGATCAGGGAACAGGCTGAGATTCAGGACTGCCAAATGGGGGCTGAAGCAGTCAAGGCCATTGCCACCTAACTGTTCAGCTTGTATGTTAGAGGTAGGAGATGTGGGATTGGAGATGCCTGGGCTGAGCTCTTGCATCAGTGGGTTAGAGGGTTGGACTCAGCCCTGAAGTGTCACCAACCTGTGTTGGGCATCCAGGCAGTCCTGCCTATCGCCCCTGCTACAGGGCAAATTATATTCCCCAAAATGTATGTGAAAGTGACCCTGGATACAGGGTCTTTGAAGATATTTTCAGTTACCATGAAGTCATAGCAGAGTAAGGTGGGTTCTAATCCAATGGGAGTCGTTGTTGTTGTTAAGTGCCGTTGAGTTGGTTCTGACTGATAGCGACCCTGTATAGGGTTTCCAAGGAGCATCTGGTGAGTTTGAACTACTGACCTTGTAGGATAAGTCTAGTGCTTATCCTACAGAGTCACACCAGAACTCCAATCAAATGGTATCCTTTTAAAAGAAGAGAAGAGACACCTACAAGGAGGATAATCATGTGATGGCAGAGGCAGAGATTGAAGTTAAGGAATCCTAAGGATTACCAGCAAGTTAGGAAAAGGCAAAGAAGGATCTTTCCCTAGAGCTTTTGGAGAGAAAAATAGCGTTGCTGACACCTTGATTTTGAATTTCTAGCCTCAAGAACTGTGGGACCATAGTTCTCTGTTGTTTTAAGCCACTCAGTTTGCTTCAATAGCAGTAAGTAAGAAATGAAAACCACTACCGCCAACATGAATAAAGACTCTTGTCTTCCTATAGCCTCATCCTGGACCCAGAGGTCAAAGGACATCCCAAGTCTTGGAGTTGACTCACCTCTGAGGAGATGTAGATTGGCACAAAGACCCATGCCAGGGCCAGCAGCACATATGTGGCCTGAGGGGAGACAGAGGCAGGGCTAACACAGTGGCCTGCAGTACCAAGCAAGCCCTGCTCTGAGCCAGGAAGCAGGGAACACAGTTGGACACAGCAGGCACTCACAATCTGAGGTCTGGCCCAAGTCCAGCAGTTCCCTCCAACTGTGCATGTCCCCAAGAACTCAGCTGCCGAGATTGCCTATACCATGGTTGACACAACAGCTAGACTGCTCAGTGGTCACAGACCCCACCTCCCAGCCTAACTTATCCCAAGAGCCTCACATTCCACTCGAAACCTGCCACAGCCAGGCCTCCAGCTGCGCCTGAGCCTGCCAGTCCAATAAAGAGTCCAGACCCCTCACTGCTGGCAAAGAGGGAGGCTCCAATCTGGAAGAGGAAAAGGAAAATAATCAGTTGCAAGCGCATTGCTGCAACTGCCAGTCCCTGCTGACCTGGCAGCACCATTGTGTCTGTCTAAGTAAGTCCGCAAAAGAGCTCTTGTCCTAGGGAGTTAGTATACTCATGGCTGGCCCCTTATTTTGTGAGTAACACAAACTGATATCCACTCCATAGCCTCCACCCCACCCTTTATATGATGTTCAGCACCCCAAGCCCAGGTCCAAGCACAGGCCTTCAGCAAACGCTGGCTGACCTGCCAGATGGAGGAGAGGCAGAAGCCAGGGAGACTCACCGGCCACCACTTCATGTCTCGGCCTGCCAAGAAGTAGCCACGTACTGTGTTTCTGCTGGCTCGACATGAGGACTGCAAGGACAAAGAAAGTGGGGTCCTCATGTATTGTTAGTAGGGATGTAAAATGGTGCATTAAGCAGTCACTCCCTGCTATCCCCATCCTAACTCCTAGGGACCACTGATCTGCTTTCTGTCTCTATGAATTTACCAATCTTGAATGTTTCATATAAATGCATCTGTGGTATTCTGTGGCTGACTTATTTCTCTGAGCATAAGGGTTTTCAAGGTTCATCCATGTTGCGACACACATTGGAACCTTGTTTCCCTTTATGAATAATATTCCATTGTGTGGATAGACAGTATTGTGTTTATCCACTCATATATTAATAAACACTTGAGTTGTTTCCACATCTTGGTCCCTATGAATAGTGCAGCAATGCACACTGGTGCACAGGAATCTGTTGAGTCTCAGTGTTCTAGTCTTTGGGGTATGAAGTCTAAGTTTGCCTTCTGTAGGCTCTTACAGTGTGGGCGGCAGGACAGTGATCCACACCAAGGCCTGCCCCAGCCTGCCATCTTGTCCTTACTAGGAGTCCTAGTGTGGCGCTATGGGTTGGAACCAACTGGACGGCACTTAACAACAACTTTACACCATATCCCCCAACCCTTAAACCAGGCTTTTCTCTCCATTTCCATTTCCTTTCTGCGTTCCTCCAGGGATGAGGAGAACTTTGAACCAATGAATCTAAGAACCCTTAGGCCCTGATTTGTCACTTTGAATATATGCTTTTATTTCTCATACATTTCAGCACTAATCCTTGAGTACTCTCTTTTGGGTCATTTGATGAAGGAGGTGTAGAATTTTGTACTCCACATGTGTGGAATAAAAAAGTCTAAAATCAGAATGCCTGAGAGCAAATCCTGGTTTCTCTACTTCCTGCCCTGCTTACCGACCCTGGTGACCTAATCAATAGGCCTCAGCTTCCTCATGGTTGTTGTTGTGAAGTGCTGTCAAGTCAATTTTGACCCATAGCGACCCTGTATAGGGTTTCCAAGAAGCAGCTGGTGAGCTTAAAACACCGACCTTGCAGTTAAAATGACTTCCCAGTCTGATGCATTAGCCCACTGAGCCACACCAGGACTCCTCCTCATGGTTGTTGTTGTTGTTGTTAAGTGCCGTCGAGTCAATTCCGACCCATAGCAACCCTGTATAGGGTTTCCAGTGAGCAGCTGGTGAGCTTGAACCGCCGACCCTGCAGTTCAAACAGCTTTGCAGTCTGGCGCATTAACCCACAGCACCACATGAGGACAGGGACCTAATAATAGTCCCTCTCTCCCAGAGTTTTGAGGAGTCCTGGTGTGACACTGTGGGAAAATGTGCTGGATGAACTGCAAGGTCAGTTTAAACCACAAGGTTGGTGGTTCAAACTCACCAGCCACTCCTTGAAAACCCTATACAGGGTTGCTATGAGTTATAACCGACTCAATGGCACTTAACAACAACAACAAATTAATACATATAAAACATTGAGAATGGTGTTCAATATGTTCAATATGTGTTCAATAATTGTCAGTGAAACTCTGCTGTCTGGACAGGAGAAATTGAAAGGACATGAGGGACACAGAAAGCGTATTTAGATACATAATTGTGTCTACTTTTCATAGTATGCATGCAATGATAGAAGGCTGAATCACAAAATATCAATTTTGTTGTTAGGTGCCATCATGTCGGTTCCAACTCATAGCAACTCTATGCCCAACAGAATAAAACACTGCCCAATCCTGAATCATCCTCACAATTGTTGTGTTTGAGTCCATTGTTGCTGCTATTGTGTCAATCTATCTCTTTGGAGGTCTTCCTCTTTTCACAGACCCTCTACTCTACCAAGCATGATGTCCTTCTCCAGGAACTGACTGATCTCTCCTGACAAAATGTCCAAGGTACGAGAGATGAAGTCTCTTCACCCATACTTCTAAGGAGCATTCTGGCTGTACTTCTTCCAAGACAAGTTTGTTTGTTCTTTGGGCAATTGATGCTACTTTCAATACTCTTCACTAACACCATAATTCAAACACATCAATTCTACAGTCTTCTTTATTCATTGTTCAACTTTTACATGCATATGAGTCCATTGAAAAGGCCATGGCTTGGGTCAGGCACACCTTAGTCCTCAGAATGACATCTTTGCTCTTGTCTTAGGCTGGGTTCTTTAGAGAAGCAAAACATATATATATATATATATATAGAGAGAGAGAGAGAGAGAGAGAGAGAGAGAGAGAGTTTATATCAATGAATGGTTCACACAGTTATAGAGGTGGACAGGTTCCAAGTCCATGGTTCAGATGAACCAAGATTGGTAGGACAGCAGCCAGGCATGTCAGGCAGGTAAGATGGCAGGTTACTGATGACTCCCAGGATATACCGGCAATAGAGCAAGACACAGGCTCAAGTCCAAAGAACGGGAGGTTGGATGATGAGGCAGTTGCAGGATCTAGACCCAGCTTTGCCTAAGTGTCCAATATATTGGCAGCAGGCCACACCCCTGAGGAAACTTCCTTTCAGTTGGTTGAGTGCTCACAGCAGATCTCATCATGGAGGTGATTAGACTTTATGGGGGATGACTGCATCTTAATTACCAAACCACCGAGAATCCTGGCCCAGACCAGTTGACAGAAAACCTGAATTCTCACAGATCTTAACACTTCAAAGAGATCTTTTGCAGCATATTTGCCTAATGCAGTACATCATTTGATTTCTTGACTGCTGTTTCTGTAAGTATTGATTATGGATCCAGGCAAAATGGAATCTTTGAAATTTTCAATCTTTACTCTGTTTATCATGATGTTATTTATAGGTCCAGTTGTGAGGATTTTTTTTTTTATTAAGGTGCAATCCATACTGAAGGCTGGAGTCTTTGGTCTTCATCAATAAGTACTTCAAGTCCTCTTTACTTCCAGCAAACAAGGTTGTGTCATCTGTATAAATCAGTTTGTTAGTGACCCTTTCTTCAATCCTGACGCCACATTCTTCATATAATCCAGCTTCTTGAATTATTTGCTCAACATTCAGACTGAATTATACAGTAAAACAATACGATCCTGGCATACCCATTTCCTGATTTTAAATCATATCTTATCCCCTTGTTCTGTTCTAACAACAGTCGATGTACAAGTTCCTCAAAAGCACAATTAAGTCTTCTGAAATTTGCATTCTTCGCAATGCTATCCATAGCTTGTTAACACCCACATGGTTGAAGGCCTGCCTTTGCATAATCAATAAAGCACAAGTCAACATCTTTTTGGTATCCTCTGCTTTCAGCCAAGACCCATCTGATATCATCAATGATATGCTTCATTCCACATCCTCTACTAAATTCAACTTAAATTTCTGGCAGCTCCCTGTCAATATACTGATGCATCCATTTATGAATTATTAAAGTTTTACTTGCATGTAATATGGATAATATTGTTCAATGATTTCTGCATTCTGTTAAATCACCTCTCTTTGGAATGGGCACAAATATGATCTCTTCCAATCAACTGACCAGGTAGCTGTCTTCCAAATTTCTTGGCATAGACAAGTGAGCACCTCCAGCGATGCATCAGTTTGTTGAAACCTTTCCATTTCTATTGCATCAATTCTGGAAGCCTTGTTTTTCACCAATGCCTTCAGAGCTGCTTGGCCTTCTTCTTTCAGTATCATTGATTCTTCATTATATGTTACCTGCTGAAATGGTTGAACATTGACCAATTCTGTATTCCTTCCATCTTCTTTTGATGCCTATGCCATTCAGTATTTTGCCCATTGTTGTTGTTGTTGTTGTTGTTAGGTGCCTTCAAGTTGGTTCTGATTCAGCATGACTCATAGTATGACTCACCTTATGCACAACAGATTGAAAAACTGGTTAGTCCCATAGCATCCTCACAATTGCTGCTACACTTGAATCCATTGTTGCTACCACTGCCAACTCATATCTTTGAAAGTCTTCCTCTTTTTCGCTAACCCTCCATTTTACTGAGCATGATGTCCTTCACCAGGGACTGGAAATAGATGAAGTCTTGCCATCTTGGCTTCTAAGGAACACTCTGGCTGTACTTCTTCCAACACAGATTTGTTTGTTCTTCTGGAAGTCCATGTTAATTTCAATATTCTTCTCAAACAGCATTATTCAAATGCATCAATTCTGAAGCCTTCCTTATTCATTATCCAAGTTATTGAAAATATCATGGCTTGGGTCAGGTGCACCTTAGTCCTCAAATTGACATCTTTGCTCTTGAACACTTTAAAAAGGTCTGTGAAGCAGATTTGCCAGATGCAATAAGTAGTTTGATTTCTTGACTGCTGCTTCCGTAAGTGTTGATAGTGAATCCAAGCAAAAAGAAGTCTTTGACGTCAATCTTTTCTCCCTTTATCATGATGTTATTTATTGATCCAGTTGTGAGGATTTTTGTGTTCTCTATATTGAGGTGGAATCCTATAATCCTGTGGTCTTTGATCTTCATCAGTAAGTATTTTAAGTCCTCTTCGCTTTCAGCAAGCAATATTGTATCATTTGCATATTGCAGGTTGTTAATGAGTTTACCTCCAACCCTGATGCCACATTGTTCTTCCTATCATCAAGCTTTTCAGATTATTTGCTCAGTATACAAATTGAATAAGTATAGTGAGAGAATACAGGCCTAGAGCACACCTTTCCTGATTTTAAATCATTCAGTGTCCCATTGTTCTGTTCAAACAAGCATCTTGATCTATGTACAGGTTCCTCATGTGCACAATTAAGTGTTCTAGAATACTGATTCTCTGCCTGACTTTATGCCCCCTCTACACACATACCACTTCCCCACACATACACAGATTCATATGAAACAAACAAACAAAAACAGGCAACCTGAGTTCTAAACCTGGACAATAGAAAACCTTTGATATGGTTCTGCCTTTCTCCCCCATACTTAGCCCCATGGCCTGCTCTAAGTTTGCCATGGTCCAACTGGTGCGGTTCTTTGGAGGTGCTCAAGGTCATGCCAGTATGACTGAGACCCACTGGGCCAGCTCCAGAGGACTCTGATGTAAG